CCGTGGGGCCGGCCCGGCCCGGCCTGACGGGACTCACGTCCACGATGAGGAAGTCCAGCCAGCACCAGGCGTTGGTGAAGTACACCTTGAAGCCGTAGGCCACCCACTTGAGCAGCATCTCCAGAATGAAGACGTAGGTGAACACCTTGTCGGCATACTCCAGGATGGTGCGGATGACGCGCCGCCGCTCGATGTAGATGTCCTCGAAGGCCTGGGGACCAGCAGGGGCTGCTGGGGGGCTGGGCGTGGCCGTGACCCGCCCTGCCCCACGCCCCGGGCGCCAGGGTCTGCCACCGGGGCCCGGCTGCCCCTTGGGGCGAGCCAGTCACTGGCGGGGGCCCTGAGGCCCATCTTCAGCCCTGCCCCCAGCCCCCGTCCCAGGGCCCCCGTCCGCACGCAAGCTGGTGCCCCAGAACGAGGGGACCCGGACTGGCGGAGAGTCCGTGCATCCTCGAGCGCCTCCTGGGGGCGCCCTTGGGGTTCTCGGGCTCGGGACAGTCTGGTCTGCGCCCACCCCAAGCGGAGGCAGGGACCCAGGAGCCCCCGCCCTCCACCCCGCCGGCCGTCCTACCAGGGCCCCGCTACTGAGCAGGATCATGAAGACGATGAACGTCTCGAACCAGTTGTGCTCAACGATCCGGAAGCAGGCCCTGCGCAGCGTCCACCACATCCTCCCACGGCCCTGGGAGACATCCACGGACAGCCAGGGACAGCGCCGCACGCAGGCTGGGGACGGCTGCACATCACCACCAGGCTGCCTGGCTGCGCCGCCTCCCGGCCCCCTCCAGGGCCCCCCCTCAGGCCAGCAGCCCGGCCCCACGGCTGCCCCCGGCCCAGGCCTTCGGACGCCAGGGTTTCTCCAGGGCTGCTCTCCCTGGAGGAGGAGGGGGAGAGGGAGAAGAGGAGGCACGAACGCGGCGAGGGAGGGCGGCGGGGGGGCCGGAGCCGAGCCCTGTGCCCTGAGCCTCGGGGGACCCTGCGCCCTGCCCCCTGGCCGCTTGGGGTTGCTGCGGCTGCCCACGGCCCCTGGGCCTGGCCCCCCCGGGCGAGGCGGGGGAGGCCCCACCATGCTCACCCTCGGTGAAGCACTCCTCAGGCTGCTCCCCCTCGGGGTCCTCCTCCACCTGCTCCTCCGGGTCCTCCTCGGGAGGCTTGTAGTCCGCGGTGCTGCACACGGAGGAGTCCCCGTCCCGGTGGGGCTGCGGGGGCTTCTGTGGGGCCACGGTCACATGACCCGGAGTCCCCAGAGACCCTTGGCCTTCCACCAGGTCCGGAGCAGGAGGGGAGCTGCAAGCTCCTTCATCTTCTCGCTCCCTCACTTGGGCCCTGTGTCCCATGCAGGAGACCCCAGGACCCAGGTGCTCGGTCCTGCCCTGGTGCCCCTCACAGCTGGCGTGGCAGGAGTGAGGCCTGCTCAGGGCCTCGGGGAAGGTCGGAGGCCGGCGCCTGCCTGGCAGGGCCGGGGAGGCGGAGGGCCTGGAGGGGTCATCTCCTCCCCCCACCACGGGGCTGAGAAGCCACAAAGGGTGGCAAGTCCTCCAGCCCAATCCCAGAGGTGCCAAGAGAGTGAGGGGGCAGGGGCAGGGCGCGGCACTAGACGGCCCTCCTGCCTCCTGGGCGTCTGCCCGCCCCTCCACTCGCAGGGGACCCCCTGGTGGCCAGGGTGGGTGGGGAGGCCCTGAAGAGAAAGGCCGAGGGGACGGCATGGGCAGGTCTGCAGCTCGAAGGGCGGGTGGCCAGAACACCACCACGGGGAGTCTTTGCTCTCAGTCAGCGAAAGGGGAAACTGAGGACAGAGCCTGCGGTCGGCTAGGGCATCCCCTGAGCTGCCCGCCCCAAACATGTGCCTGGACTCCATACCCCCTTGGAGCCGGGCTGCCCCGTGCGTCCCCAGGCCCCTCCTGCCGCTGCGCCTGGGCCTGGCACTCCTAGCCCCACCATGTGCCTCATCCCGGGGTCTGTGCCACGTTGCTGGGTGTTTAAGGCTCATGTGGCCCCATGGGTCAGCGTGCGACGCATCTAGGGTCAGACGTAGTCAAGAGCTTCCAGGGCAAAGGTCACAAGGCTCTGGGGGGGGACGGGCGGCCCAGGGGCACGGCGTGGGGTGGCAGGCCAAGTGGGTGGGGGGCTGGCCAAGCTCATGCCAGTCCTTTCCCTGCCAGAACGGATGCTGGGCGAGGGGCTGGCTGGCCCTGGAGGCCCCAGTGGCGGCCAGGCTCAGCTTCCGCTGCAAGATGACTGCTCCTGCACCCAGTCCCTTCCTCACCCGTGGGGCAGGGGGCTGGGGCCCAGGGCTCCTGCTTGCCACCCTCAGCGCCCTGGTCCCCCGCCGCCTCCTGAGTCTCCGCCTGCGCCTGGCCCCTTGGCCCACGGGGCAGTCGGGAGCAGCCCCCGGGGGGGCCGTGCAGAAAGAGGACAAGGCCTCTGGGCTGCTGGGGTCAAGGCGGCCAGGTGAGTGCCCTGTCCACGAGTGCCACCTGCTGGCGCGTGGGGACCGGAGAGAGGCTGGGGCCGGAGCCCCAGGACGGGCAGGGCCGCCACAGTCCAAACAGCCGCTGCCCAGGGCTCGCCCTCACACGCCCATCTGTTCACCCCACCACAACGCCACGGGCGCCCTCTCCACGGGCGGGGAGCTGGAGGCGAGGGGTCCCGCGCGGGCGCTGGCTCACCTTGCCGTCCTCGGGCTCGGAGAAGGTATCGGTCTCCTCCTCCGTGGGCAGCTCCAGGTCAGACTCCTCGGAGGCGATGGGCACGTGGATGGTCAGGTAGGGGTTGTTGATGAAGTTGAGGTGGTCCAGCTCGAGGCCGCAGGGGGGTGCGTCGTGGCCCACGTGGTTCAGGATGTGCCCGTCCTTCTTCAGGTCGTCGGCGGGCGGCGGCTCCTTCTCCTCATCCTGGGGGGCGCCCTCCGCAGCCTCCGCGGCCTCCTGGGCCCCGCCAGGCGGCCCGAGCTGCAGCGCGATATCCTTGAGGCGCGGGACCCGGCCGCGCAGCAGCCCCAGCAGGAAGGCCTTGGCGAAGGCCACGCCCCACTTGATGCGCCCGACGGCAATCTGCAGGTTGTTCATCTCGCCGTCCTCGTCCGATGCCGCCAGGCTGTCAGCGCTGAAGGAGCTCAGCAGCAGGGCCAGGAACAGGTTCAGGACCTGCGGAGGCATGGCGGGCAGCGCATGGGTGGGCCGCCCGGCCTGGAGGAGGGCGGGCGGGGGGCCGGCGACAGAACCAAGAGCAGGTGGTGATCCCCAGGCCTCCCGGGAACCTGGGCTTTCTGAGCCACTCCCTCCTCTGTCGGGCGGGATTTTTTCTGAGTCGGCGTCTCCCTCTGCCGCCCAGGCTGGAGGGCAGTGGCAGGCTCCCGGCCACCGCAGCCTCCACCTGCTGGGCTCAGGCATCCTTCCACCTCAGCCTTGCAAGTAGCTGGACCTACAGGTGCGCATCACCATGCCCGGCCAAGGTTTTGGTTTACTGAAGAGACAAGGGCTCGCCAAATTGCCCAGACTGGTCTCGAACCCCCGGACTCAGGCATCCTCTCGCCTCTGCCTCCCAAAGTGCTGGGATGACGGGCTTGACCTGCCATGCCCGGCCTCGGGTGGGATTTTTAACCCCGTGCCCACGATACTCCCAGCGCCCCACTCCCCCCGGTGCACACAGATCGTCCCTGCGGCCCTGGACCCAGCGCTGTTCACCCCTTTCCTCTGGGGTGCCGGCCCACCTGCTCCTGGCTCCCCTCCCACCTCCCTACCAAGAGGGGGTGGAGGCACGGCTGCTCTCCCTCCCTTCCTTCCTTCCCCACGTCCTGAGTCCTGTCACTTGAGTGGCCTCAGGGAGCCGTCGGCACGGGCAGCTGACCACACACACGCGCCACTGGGTGGCAGGAGAGGGCCTGGGTGCACATGCCGCCTGCTCTGAAGCCCAGCTCGCCAGCCGTTCCCTCGCCTGTAAAACGAGGAGGGTCCCCACGCTGTTGTGAAGCCTGAAAGACCTCGCAGCAGAGCACACAGGAGGCGCTTGGAACACACGGCTGCTGCCACCTGCACAATGAACCCTAAGGCCAGCTCAGCGCTGCACAAGCAGGAAACCGAGTCCCAGAGAGGCAGTGACCGGTCCCAGGACACACAGCACAGCCAAGACTGGAACCCATGCTCTTGCCACTGCCTGGCTCTAGAGGGCGTCCTTCTTAGATCACTCTCCGAGTGGCAGGAGGAGGGTCCATGGAGGGGTCTCTCCCACCTGTCCACCAGCCCCTGGGCAGCGGGACAGAGGCGAAGCTGACTGGAGCAGGTCTGGGCACGAGTGGACACCAGGGAGGTGCAGGCCTGCCCGTGCGACCGTCGCCCTCACTTCTCCACGCGTCCCTGGCTCCCCCAGGTCTCCCGACACTGTCCTCCCGACACCGTGTCGTCTCCGCGGTGAACTTATAATGCGCAGGAAGCCCCTCCATGAGAGGGGTGCTGGGGAACCCCAGCGCCCCACGACGCCCGCCTTTGCCCCCCACACGCCTGGGCCGCTCCTTCCCACGGAGGCGCGCAGTTGCCAGAAGTGCATCTGAGACGGGATTAGCTGCTCTCTGGTCAGCAGGGTTTGCGCTTGGCTCCCGCCCAAGACAGAAATAGCCACCCCGGGGGAGGGGGAGGTCAAGTTCCCGAGGGTCGAGCGGAAGGTCCCTCAGGACCGGTCACTTCCTCTCCTCCTTCACCGCGACCCAGAGGAAGTGGCCGCGTGCCAGGGGTGCGGGGACAGCAGTCCCACACGCCTGGCGGGCGCCCGCTGTCCTCTGGCCGCACCTGCTCCTCCGAGGCCTGGGGGCGGGGGCAGCTCCCAGGCTGCTCCTCCCTCACGGCAGACGCTGAGGGGCAGGGTGGGCTGGGAAGGGCGCCGGCATTTGCGCACGCACGCGTGCAGGGCAACGAGCACAGGCGGCAGGCACGGCAGTCCCAGACGCCAGAGTCACGCTGCCGAGGCTCACGTCCCCACCTGGGACACACAGGAGGACATGGAGCAGCGCATGACCGCCCGTGCGCACGCGTCCCACGCAAGTCCACACGTCCACACATGGGCACGCGTCCACACAGGAACACGAGTTCACACGTCCACACATGAGCACATGTTCACACACAAGCACATATCCACACAGGAACACGTGTCCACACATCCACGCACGAGCACACATCCACACGGGAACATGTGTCCACGAATCCACACATCCACATACAAGCACGCATGCACACAGGAACACGAGTCCACACGTCCACACATGAGCACGTGTCCACAAACAAGTACGCATCTACACACGCACACACGTCCACCCAGGAGCATGTGTCCACGTGTCCCCACACGCCCAGCGCTCCAAGAGGCTCACACACGCGGGCCACCTCCTTGGCGACTGTGCGGTGCTGCCGTGGCCGCCACGACAGCGGCCGGAGCTCGGAGGGCCGGGCTGGGGCCCTGCTCTCACCCTCCTAGCTGTCCCCGTGTGGGCAGAGAACACGACCAGCCTCAGGGCCAGGAGGATGCAGGCCCGGCACGGGGAGGAGCCCAGCAGCTGGACCGGGCCTGAGGCCGGCACGTGCCTGAGACCTCGGGCCTTTCCCTGCCATCAGGGCCCACGCTTTGCTCAGCACGCACAGGCACAGACGCCACCAAATCCTCAGGGCCACCCGGTGGGGAAGGTCCTCACATTCTCATGCCCATTTTCCAGGTGAGAAAATGGAGCCCAAGCCAGGCTCGGTGCTCAGCCTGTAATCTCGCGCCTTGGGGGGCTGAGGTGAGTGAATTGCCTCAGCCCACGGGTTCGTGACCCGCCTGGGCAACTTGGTGAGACCTCATCTCTACAATAAATCAAAAAATTAGCCAGGCATGGTAGCGCGCACGCCTGTGGTTCCAGCTACTTGGAAGGCTGAGGCGGAAGGATCGTCGGAGCCCAGCAGGTCGAGGCTGCGGTGGCCGGGAGCGGCCACTGCACTCCAGTCTGGGCGACCGAGTGAGACTCCAACTCAAAAAAAAAAGAAAACGGATCCCAGAGAGGTGGAGTAACTGGCTCCAGGTTTCCCAGCCGGTGGCAAAGCGGGGACCAGAGGGCTTTTGAGAGTCCACGCAGAGACCCAAGCCCTGCAGGCTCGGCCCGGCCCTGAGGCTTCACTCACAAGCTCCTACTCAACCCTGCTGCCCCAGCCCCCTCCTAGGGCCTCCTCTGGGGGCGGCAGGCCTGGGTCCTCCCCTCCAGCTGTCCCCAGGTCTCCTCCTGCTGCCGAGGTGACCTCCCTCACCAGCCCCTGCCCTGGCCGGAGCTCAGCGACATCTGAGACGCTGACCGGGCAGCTCAAGGATTCCACAGGCCCTTGAGGACGTGGGGACAGGCTGGGGACACGCATCTCCCACTCGTTGCCCAGGACAGCACCGGCCTCCGCAGGGGCGGCTGGGCCCGGCGCCGCGGGCAGAAGGGGCCCCACCCCGCCCGGGGTGGGGAGGAGTCAGGTCCACAGGGCGAGGAAGACACCTCCGGGGCCAGCCACACACAGGCTGCTCCTGGCCCACAGCCCACGGCCGGCCCTCACCTGGCAGCCTCACTGCCTGCACCTCCCCCCACACTGGCCCAGCCAAGCCGGATGGCTCCTGCTGTCCCTGGATTCCCCAGTGCCTGTGCCTCACTCCCCCTTCCTCCCTTGCGAGACGGTTTTGCTGTCTCCTGGCTGGAGTGCAGCGGCGTGACCCTAGCTCACTGCAGCCTCAAAGTCCTGGGCCAGGCGATCCTCCCGCCTCCGCCTCCCAAGCAGCTGGGACTACAGGCACCACCACACCTGGCTAATTTTAAGAATCTCTGTGGGCCGGCCTCGGTGGCTCAGCCTGTGATCCCAGCACTTTGGGAGGCCGAGGTGAGAGGACTGCCGGAGACCGCAGGTTGGAGACCAGCCTGGGCAACATGGTGAGACCTCGTCTCCACCATAAATAAAAAACTAGCTGGGTGTGGCAGCGTGTGCCTATAGTTCCGGCTACTTGGAAGGCCAAGGCAGAAGGATTGCTGGAGTCCGGCAGGTCGACGCGCTGGGGTGGCCGTGAGTGTGCCACTGCATTCCAGCCTGGGCGACGAAGTGAGACTCCAACTCAAAAAAAAAAAAAATCTTTGTAGAAACAGGGATCTTGTTATGTTGCCCAGGCTGGTCTCAGACTCCTGGCCTAGAGCACTCCTCCTGCCTCAGCCTTCCCAAAGTGCTGGGATTACAGGTGAGAGCCACCGCGCCGAGCCCTGATTCTCTTTTCCAGACCCTGGCCCACAGGTTCTGGCACAGAGGCTGTTAAGAGGAGGGAGAAGGCCAGGAGCCCCAGGCGTCCCGCCCCCACCCACGGCCCCTCTGCACGCTACGGCGACCCACCTTCTGTGACCCTGCCATTTTCCCTCTGTGTGACAGAGCACGGCGGGTTCAAAGCCACACCGACAGGCTGAGGAGCCGGGCTCCTCTTTGAGCCACTTTACTCAAGAAACTGGGCTTCCAGCGCGACTCACAGCTCGGCCCCTGGCCGGCTGCCCCACATCAGCTGGGAGCGCATCCAAAGTGCAGATTCCCAGGCCCAGAGCTGCTGAATCAGACTCCCTGGGGGCGGGGCCAGAAGCCCACTCTCTAAGAAGCTCCCGGGTGGTCCTTAAACAGGCTGAAACGGGGGTGTCCGGGTCAGCCCACGGCCCTCGCCACCGGGAGCAAGGCCCCGCCCGCCGTGGGAGGAGGCCTGGGAGCCCGCGCCTGCCCACTCACCACCAGGTTGCCGATGACCATGACCATGAGGAAGACGGTGAGGCACATGGCCTGGCCGGCCACCTCCATGCAGTCCCACATGGTCTCGATCCACTCCCCGCACAGGATGCGGAAGATGACGAGGAAGGAGTGGAAGAAGTCGTGCATGTGCCAGCGCGGCAGGCTGCAGTCGGCCGCGATCCTGCACACGCACTCCTTGTAGCTCTTGCCGAACAGCTGCATGCCCACCACGGCGAAGATGAACACGACGATGGCCAGCACCAGCGTCAGGTTGCCCAGCGCGCCCACCGAGTTGCCGATGATCTTGATGAGCATGTTCAGCGTGGGCCACGACCGGGCCAGCTTGAAGACCCGCAGCTGCGGGGAGGGGGGCATGGGAGGCTGCCCGGGCCTCCCGGCCAGCCCGGCCTCCCCCCCGGGTTTGCCTCCTTCTGACGGGCACTCCCGTTTCCTGCCCCTCAAGCTCTTCGTGGGTCAAAAGGAGAGCCCGCCAGGCTCGGTGGCTCAGCCTGCAACGCGCGCCGGGGGAGGCTGACGTAAGTGGCTTGCCTGCGCCCGCGGGTTCGAGACCCGCCCGGGCAACTTGGCGAGACCTCATCTCTACAGTAAATCAAAACTCAGCCGGGCGTGGTAGCGCACGCCTGTAGCTCCAGCCCCTCGGA